TACAAGGTTAGTGGTAAAATTTAGGCTGGACAGGGGTTGGATCTATTTTGAGGAACGGAGAAGACGATGAGCCACTATGGTCAACACACACAGTACGCAATCGAACTCTGCAAGCATTCTGACCTGATAAGAAACGACAACAAGAACGCCACTGCTGCCGGTTCGCTGCCATATCCTTCGGCGTCATCAACCAACCACTTGTGGAGTCTTTCGGACCCCAACCTGGAAGGCAAGAGACACCTACTCTACCTAATGACTCTGTGCATTTCTTTGTGCCACGTCTTCACGTCCTGTGTTGACCTCCACGTGGTTTCCTCCAAGCCCGGATTAGCTACAGCGAATAAAGCGCGGTGCGGCAGACGATGGTTGGGCATTCGCAATACGTGCCCTAGCCAGTGAAGCCTAGTAATCTGAATTCCGTATGCTAGCAGGTTTATGTTTGACAGACTACCGAACACACGACGGCTTACCTCCACGTTACTAACCCGTTCGCTCCATCCAACATGGGCTAAACTGCGTAACACCAATAATCGAAAACATCTAGTCGACGGATATCTACTCGCAAATTCAGGATCTCACAACCACAAAGCAAGACTGAAAAACGCTAGCACAATATACACGACCTTTCAACTTCAGTGAAACGTCGCGTCTACGCCAAAGATGTTTCAGTCTTGCGTATGCTGCTCGAGCCTTGGAAATGCGGCCGGTTATCTTTTTTGCTGCACTACCGTCATTGGTCACGCAACTACCTAAGTAGGAAAAGTAGTCCCCCACAACTAAATCCCGGCCATTTAGTGTCAGAGTGGGAGTATACGAAACCCAGTCCTGCAGCATCACTTTGCACTTTGAAGGTGCAAAGCATATACCGAAAGTGGCCACTGCACCTGCTAATCTCTCAAGTGCACTTTGCGCGTCCACCATACATTCGAACAGACAGATGATATCATCGGCGTATTCCAAATCGCATAGCTCTTCTCCAGCTGTCCATTCAATACCTACGTTTTGGAGTCCCCTTTGTGCGCTCTCCAGTATTTCGTCTACGACGAAATTGATCAGGAACGGCGAAAGAGAGCACCCTTGACGAAGGTCGCTGCTGGTGAAGAACAGCCTACTTAGTTCGTTGTAGACCCTTACACGACCGGAGGTCTGTGAATACAGTGACCTCAGTAGGTTAACGTACTTCTGGGACTTCCTTTTCGAAGAAGGGAGCCCATCAGAGTTTCGCGGTCAAATGAGTCGAAGGCTCCTTTCAGGTCAAGGAAGGCTGCGATCGTTGGCCGGTGGTGAGTAAGATGCAGCTCAAGGATTGGACGTAACGTAAAAATCTAATCAATACATCCACGGCCAGGCCGGAATCCGGCTTGCTGTTCACGGATGTTGGTCTCTCTTAAAGGTGTCAGATGTCGAAGTATAAGCGAAGCTAGCACTTTGGTGACGATCGGGATCGAACTGATCCCGCGGTGGATTTCGCAATCGTTGCGGAATCCTTTCTTGAAAATGGGAACGATCAGTGATTCGCCCCAAGATGAAGGAATGCGTTCTTGCATCCAAATGTTGCGCAGTAGCGTAGTAGTAGAGGTTACGAGGTAATCACCTCCCATCTTGAAAAGAGTGGGAGGGCGCTCATCAGGTCCTGCTGCCTTTCCTCGCTTCAGAGATCGAATGCAAGACCGATCTTTTGCTTCCGTTGGAGGATCGCATGACACTGCCCACGGAGCTTCAGTCGGAGATGAAGCAGCCTGGTTAACACTAGGCCAGCTGAACTGTTCGTTGAAGTATTCTGCCCAGCGATCGAGTCGTTGATCTCTATTGTGAATAACTCGTCCCCTCTTATCGCAGACTGTTTCACTAACAGGAGTTCGCCGACCTCCCGTATTGCGTATCAGTCGGAACAGTC